AAATTTTGTCTAAATTTTTTTATTTTGTATTAGGAGAGCAGGAACGCAAGGAGATGAAATCCTGGTACTTTGTGGGCGGAGCCTAATAAGGCCACGCCCACCCAAATTTTTCAAAAATTTTCGAAAATTTTGTATCAGGAACACAGTAGAAACGCTAAGAGGTGAAAATCGAAAAAATTATCAAATTTTCAGAAAATTTACAAAATTTTGTTAAAATTGCAGATTTCTGTAAGAAATTACAGATTTCTGTAAAAATTGCAGATTTCTGTAAATGATAATTTTTTGAAAAATAGCTTCAGTTTCTGTCTAATAGATGGCGCTGGTAGTAAATCTTATTTTCAATGAAAAAAGGCAGGATTTTTAGGTTTTTCAAAGAACCACAAAGTAATCAAAACCACATAATTAATTTATTAATAACTAAATACATATACAGACACAAATTGATTATTATTAAGACAAAATGGCGAGCTGGTGGTTCATTGTTGAATGGTCATTGGGGGCCTTTTGTTGATTTTTCAATTAGTGGCGCCATCTATTGAAACGACATGCGAGTTAGACAAAGACACCTTTTTTTCGAGACTCACCCTGTATCTTGTTTGGGTGCCAAACTGTACAAAAAATTATCTACGACTCACCCTATATAAAAAAATCCTTTGCAACTCGTCTCCTCATTGGCTCAATTCTCCTTGCAACTCTAGGCTTCAATAGGACCTGAAAAACAATAAATAATTTTCAAAATTGCAAGCATCTATGATGACGTCATCGTTTTATGCTCGAAACTAATAATAAAAAATTGCACCATTCTACTAATGCCGTCTATTTGTAATTATTGACAATGAAAATTTTTCAAAATTGCAAGCATCTACGATGACGTCATCATTCCGTGATTGGATCCTAGCTCTAGACACGCCAAATAAAATAGCATTACTAGTGCCATCTATCAAACAGAAGCCAAAGCTTTTTTTAAAAAGATAACTGTAATTTTCAAATGTGGCGCCATCTAGCAAACAATACGCAAACTATTTTTTTACAGAAATTTTCAATTTTTAGTTCGGCTATTGATTAGTAGATGGCGCTACTATTAATTTTTTTTATTTTCATTGTAATTCTTTTGAGGTTAGAAAATCTTGACACTTTAATTTTTTTCTGGAAAACTGGCAAAAGGAAAATTTTGAAATTTTTCCAGGAAAAAGAAGAAAGTGAAAGGATCAATATAGGAAAACTTCAAAATTTTCCAATGGAAAATCACTCCAGGAAAAATTACCACAACTTCACTACACTTTACAAACCTTTTAAAAACTTATATACGAGATTTAACTGATGATGACGTCATTTTGATTGATAATTCCAAGAATTTGGCCACCTAGGATATAAGACACGTACGTAATGACGTCACAGAGATTTTTATAAACCCTATTAAGTGAAGTGAAGCTGTGGTCATTGAATTAAGACAGTCGTAACTTCACTTCACTTTGTAAGCCTTTTTAAAAATTTATGTCCGAGTTTTCGATGTAAGTACCAATGATGACGTCACGAAATTAGATGTGATTATTGCAGGCATCAAGTATACGAAACTAAACTGATGATGTCGTCATTACAATTATCTAATTGATCGATAATTCCAGGCGTTTGGCCACCTAGGATACAAAACACGTATTGATAATGACGTCACTGAAATTTTTAGAAAACAGCCTACTAGATGAAGTGGAGCTGTGGCCATACAAGTGGCCTTTTAAAAATTTATAGTTGAATTTTCAATGTAAGTATTTACGAAATAAGATGGAAAATTTGATTATCCCAGGCATTTGGTTGTCTAGGATACAAGACACATACTGATGATGACGTCACTAAGATTTTTGGAAATCAGCCTACTAGATGAACCATTGAAATAACACAACCATAATTTATAATGTAATAATAATTATTATTAACCACAGTTTATTGTATCTAGGCAACTTACCTTTTGTAATCAATGAGCTGTTTTCTTGCGTTGAACCAGTGACGTCACATTGAACCTACTTCAAAAAAGTTCGAACCAGTCTCATGGCTTGTTTTCCGTTGATATAAGGCTGTGGTTCAAACCCGAGATTATTTGAGGGTTGCCTGGATAACCGGATGACGTCATCAGGGGTGCCTCAACAAAATGCAAATCTCCAGGGCGGAGGTTATATTAGCCCGAAGAGCCGGAATTATATGTCATACGAGTTAACGTAATTAAAATGACTCTGGCCCTTTGGGCTCGCAATCTTCAAAATAAAAAGACGCCATTTTGTATTGATTGATAAAAATAATTACAAGGCCTACTTCGAAATGTCAAAGTTTTTAACGTTTGTTGTGTCATAAGCAGTGTTGCCACATGTTTTTTTCAAATCTCCAGCCCAAAGGGCTGGGATTATTCTAATTAGAGCTCGGAGGGTCAAGGTTATGTGAGCCCGAAGGGCCGGAGTGATTTAAGTTATACGAGGTATACTCTACTTGTATAATGATTGTTATAACTTACCAGTTTAAAAATCAATCGTCCGGCTTGGAATTTTGTGTATTTTTGACGCAAAATACTTCAACAAACACTTCAAGATGTTTTTTAGTATTGAAATCGCCCCAAAAACCTCAAAATTAAGCAAATTACCCGAGACGGGAGTCCCAAAAAACATTAAAAGACGCCATGACAGTACCAACTGCCAAAAAAAAAAAAAAAAAAATCAAAGCAAAAATTTTCTAACAACGAACAAGATCGGAACAAGGTTCTTGGTCCATTTTTACAGCACATAGAATTGATTTTAGTTAAACATAGAACACTTTTAATCAATAGAATTCTATTACGCGCAAAATATAATGACATTACAAAAATAGAATTCTATATATCGGCTGACATTTACAGGTTTCTGCATTACTTAGTTAGTGCAAATAGAACCAGTCAAGGTAGTACAAACAGTTGAAAAAAATAAAAAGATTCAGTGCACTTGGAATCATCAGAAGTTTATTCGACTAATAAATATCCTTGTTACAAGGTACGATGACGTCATCTGTAGACCTAACACAAACCGTTCAAAATTCAAAATGTACCCGTAAAAAAGTTTTTATTCGAAAATATCCTTGTTACAAGGCAACTTTACATGGTGACGTCACTTGCAGACCCAACAAAAACCGTTTCAAATTAAAAATGCACCCGAAAAACACAGTGACAGGCCAATTTTGTCTCTTTTAATCACAATTTTGAAATCAATATTCTTGTTCTAAGGCCACCTTACATGATGACATCATCATTAGACCCAGCAAAAACCGTTTGAAACTTAAAAATACAACCCGCAAAACACAATAACAGGCCAATTTTGTCACTTTTAATCAATATGTTGAAATGAATATCCTTGCTATAAGGGTGTACATGATGACGTCACCTGCAAACCTAACAAAAACCATTTCAAATTAAAAATGCACCCAGAAAACACAGTGACAGTCCAATTTTGTCACTTGTTACAATGTTACCCCACATGATGACGTCACTTGCAGACCTAACAAAAACCATTTCAAATTAAAAATGCTCAAATTTTCCATTTTTTCGCGATCATAAGTGATGACGTCGTCTACAAATTGGTTTAAACCGTAGTTCGAACCATTCGCTTTGCAAGAAAATGCCTCTGTAATAATGGAAGTACCAACTCTAAATATACTGAATGATTCAGAATTTAGTTTGTGAAGTTTTCATAGATGGCGCTACCATGAAAAAATGGATTTTTTTTTTTTGCAATTTTCCTTGATTAAAATCGACATTTTTCTGTTAAAATTGATGAAAAACGTCATTATATATATCTATCTGCCTCTAACTCAGTGGGTTAATATGTCATTGAACAAAGCAATTAAGATTTACCGGGCCTATTATACAAGACGTCTTTGTGAAGGACGGAAGGCAACTGGACAGTGATCGAGGACAAAATGGCGTTTTCCATTTTTTAGTTCAGTGACGTCACCATCGGGCAGAAATAAGTAGGCCCCGCTCCCGTCGTTCATTAGCCAGTCAAGTTTAATATCAACTCTAATTTTTATCCTTCTCAGACAACGGACAATAAACAAGGACAAGAAGATGTTCAGCGTGCAAAATGAACTGTATTAGTTAGCAAATGAGTAATTCATAATTCATTACCCTGTTAAATGAAATTCAATATGGCCGTACAAACACCTCAAAAATCAATGAAAAATTATTCATTTTGGACGTTTAAGTTTGACATTGGTAATGTGACATCTGACATATTGAATCACGTAGGTGGTTTTGATCAAGGTTATTTGAGAAAGATTACCTCAAGGTTGTTTGATAACTTTATGACGTCATTTGGGGTGCCTAAATATAACGCAAATAGATCAAGGATAATACAAAAATGGAACCAACGCACATTTCTCTAATTAATAAAAAGATTTAATATTACCAAAAAAAAAATTATTACAAATTAACAGCGGGTCCCACCCGTTTGTGCTTCAAAGGGGCGAAAATCGACACGCCTCTGATGTCGCCCCCCAAATGATTGGCCGTAATATCAGCCGAAAGCTCATCCGCCTCAATCTCCTTTTCCGCTTTAGCCTGCTTAGTAGCCGCATCAATATCCGTCCTAATCTGCGCATCGATTTCCTTAATTTCCTCGGCAGTCACCAGATTGGACGAAATAATTTTCTCTTTAAACGAAGTGATTGGGTCTCGGGTTTGGCGCACCTCTTGCACCTCCTCCCTGGTCCTGTAACTCGTACCGGGATCGGACATCGAGTGGCCCGAGTACCTGTAAGTCTGAGCCTCCATGACTACAGGCCCTTGGCCGGTGGCGCAATGTTTTATTGCCAATTTGGCCGCCTCTCTTACAGCCAAAACGTCCATTCCATCTACCCAAATGCCAGGAACGTAATCCCCACGAGTATAGTACTCGGTACTTGCACTAGATCTTGAAGCACTAGTACCCATTCCTTGTTTTGTTTAATTAATAAATTTTGTTTATTAAAAGTTTGTTGTTGGTACTTACCGTAGCCGTTGTTTTCGCATACAAATATGCAAGGAACGTTCCATAGTTTGGCCATGTTGTAGGCCTCGAATACTTGGCCTTGGTTGGCGGCACCGTCGCCGTATAAAGCTACACAAACACCATCTGTGTTTTTGTATTGGGCTGCCAAAGCGATGCCCACCCCTAAAGGCACTTGCGCCCCCACAATTCCGTTGCCGCCGTAGAAATTATCGGTGTACATGTGCATTGAGCCGCCTTTGCCTCTGGCGCACCCCGTTCGTCTACCAGTGAGCTCGGACAAGACACCCAAAGGTTTCACTCCCATCATAAATGTCCACCCGTGGGCTCTGTAAGCTGTAATTACTGAATCGTGAGGCCTTAGGGCTTGTTTAAAGCCTACAGCGACTGCTTCCTAAATGAAAATTATTAGATTGTTGATTTATTGTATAGATTGGGAGGGTGTAACAGGTTTTTACCTACTGATTTTATCCCGCATGCCTTTTTAATGGTTAATAATTAACTCACAAATAGTCATTGGCGCAACTATCATTTGGTTATCACAATTAGAAATGAACAATTTATTAGAAAAAATTAATTAAAATATTTATTTATTTTTTTCAGTAAAATCTCTTGACATTTTGAAAATATGAATTATTGATTTAACGAGTTTCTTTAGTTTTTTCAAAATTTTTGAAACTACATAGTGTTGGAAAAACAAAGAAAAAAATTAAATTTAACGAGTTTCAATAAAAAAAAAATTCCAATATTTGTGTAAAAACTCGTTGAAAAAAAAAAAAAACTGGAAAAAATTCTGTAAAAATTTGGAAAAAAAAATTCTGGATTTTTAGGAAAAAATTGGAAGAAACAAAAAAAATTCTAGAATTTTTTTTTTTAAGAAAAATTTCGAAAAAACAAAAAAATTCTAAACTTAGTTTCTTTTGACTTTTGAATTTTTTCAATGTTTTTGAATTTTTCAATTTTTTATTTTTTTTTTTTTTTGAATTTTAGAAGTTTTGTAAATTTTTATGATTTTGGAAATTTTATTGATTTTCAAATTTTTGTAAATTTTTATGATTTTCGTGATTTTTGTAATTTTTTTAATTTTCTTAATTTCCATGATTTTTTCGAATTTTTGTAATTTTTTTAAACTTTTATGATTTTTATAAATTTTTATGATTTTTAACTTTCATAAATTTCTAGTGCATTTCGGGATTTTTGAAAGTTTTCATAATTTTTGTGAATTTTTATAATTTTTGGAAATTTTCATGATTTTTGAGATTTTTGTAAATTTTCATGATTTTTGTAAATTTTCATGATTTTGAAAATTTTCATAATTTTTGGATTTTGGTAATTTTCTTGATTTTTTTAATGATTTTTTTCAAATTTTTGTAAATTTCTTGAATCTTTATTATTATTGTAAATTTTTATGATTTTTAATTTTTATAAATTTTTATGATTTTTTGTGGATTTCGTGATTTTTAGAAGTTTTCATGATTTTTGTAAGTTTTTATGATTTTTAGAAATTTTAATAATTTTTGGATTTTCATGATTTTTGTAATAAATTTCTATGATTTTTTTTGTGCATTTCGTGATTTTTGGAAATTTTTATGATTTTTGTGAATTTTTATGATTTTGAAAATTTTTATAAATTGGTATGATTTTCACGAATTTTATAATTTTTTTGATTTTCTTAATTTCTACGATTATTTTGAATTTTTGTAATTTTTATAAATTTCTATAAATTTTTGTGAATTCTTATAATTTTTTTAAATTTTTATGATTTTTGTTATTTTTGTAGATTTTCAGGATTGGAAACTACATATGTATTATGATTATAAAAATCAAAATTATAATTACAATTTGAAAAAATTATAGAAATTAAGAAAATCAGAAAAATTACAAAAATCACAAAAATTTTTGATTTCCATAAATTTCTATGAATTTTTGTGCAATTCTTGATTTTCATAATTTTTGATTTTCATATAAGTATTTCCATAATTTTTTGGGTATTTTGTGATTTTTGGAAATTTTCATAGTTTTTATGAATGTTTATGATTTTTGAAAATTTCTATGATTTTTGTGATTTTTGTAAATTTTTACGATTTTCGTGATTTTTGTAAGTTTGTAATTTGTAATTTTTTAAAATTTTTATAATTTTTGTGAATTTTCATAATTTTTGATTCTCATAAATTTCAATAATTTTTTGTGAATTTTTATTTTGGAAAATTTTTATGATTTTGGTGATACATATTTTTATTTTTTCTGATTTACTCAATTTCTATGACTTTTTCGAATATTTGTAATCTTTTGTAATTTTCTTGAATTTTCATGATTTTTGATTTTTATAAATTTCTATGATTTTTGATTATCATAAATTTCCATGATTTTATGCGCATTTTGTGCTTTTTGAAAATTTTCATTATTTTTAATTTTCATAAATTTCTATGATTTTTTTGTGCATTTTGTACTTTTTGGACAGTTTTTTTTTTTTTGGAAATTTTCATGATTTTTGTAAATTTATATGATTTTTGATTTCCATAAATTTCTATGAATTTTTGTGCAATTCTTGACTTTTATAATTTTTGATTTTCATATAAGTATTTCCATAATTTTTTGGGTATTTTGTGATTTTTGGAAATTTTCATAGTTTTCATGAATGTTTATGATTTTTGAAAATTTCTATGATTTTTGTGATTTTTGTAAATTTTTACGATTTTCGTGATTTTTGTAAGTTTGTAATTTGTAATTTTTTAAAATTTTTATAATTTTTGTGAATTTTCATAATTTTTGATTCTCATAAATTTCAATAATTTTTTGTGAATTTTTATTTTGGAAAATTTTTATGATTTTGGTGATACATATTTTTATTTTTTCTGATTTACTCAATTTCTATGACTTTTTCGAATATTTGTAATCTTTTGTAATTTTCTTGAATTTTCATGATTTTTGATTTTTATAAATTTCTATGATTTTTGATTATCATAAATTTCCATGATTTTATGCGCATTTTGTGCTTTTTGAAAATTTTCATTATTTTTAATTTTCATAAATTTCTATGATTTTTTTGTGCATTTTGTACTTTTTGGACAGTTTTTTTTTTTTTGGAAATTTTCATGATTTTTGTAAATTTACATGATTTTTGATTTCCATAAATTTCTATGAATTTTTGTGCAATTCTTGATTTTTATAATTTTTGATTTTCATATAAGTATTTCCATAATTTTTTGGGTATTTTGTGATTTTTGGAAATTTTCATAGTTTTTATGAATGTTTATGATTTTTGAAAATTTCTATGATTTTTGTGATTTTTGTAAATTTTTACGATTTTCGTGATTTTTGTAAGTTTGTAATTTGTAATTTTTTAAAATTTTTATAATTTTTGTGAATTTTCATGATTTTTGATTCTCATAAATTTCAATAATTTTTTGTGAATTTTTATTTTGGAAAATTTTTATGATTTTGGTGATATTTTTTCTGATTTACTCAATTGCTATGACTTTTTCGAATATTTGAATTTTCATGATTTTTGATTTTTATAAATTTTTCTGATTTTTGATTATCATAAATTTCCATGATTTTATGCGCATTTTGTGCTTTTTGGAAATTTTCATTATTTTTAATTTTCATAAATTTCTATGATTTTTTTGTGCATTTTGTACTTTTTGGACAGTTTTTTTTTTTTTGGAAATTTTCATGATTTTTGTAAATTTACATGATTTTTAATTTCCATAAATTTCTATGAATTTTTGTGCAATTCTTGATTTTTATAATTTTTGATTTTCATATAAGTATTTCCATAATTTTTTGGGTATTTTGTGATTTTTGGAAATTTTCATAGTTTTTATGAATGTTTATGATTTTTGAAAATTTCTATGATTTTTGTGATTTTTGTAAATTTTTACGATTTTCGTGATTTTTGTAAGTTTGTAATTTGTAATTTTTTAAAATTTTTATAATTTTTATGAATTTTCATGATTTTTGATTCTCATAAATTTCAATAATTTTTTGTGAATTTTTATTTTGGAAAATTTTTATGATTTTGGTGATATTTTTATTTTTTCTGATTTACTCAATTGCTATGATTTTTTCGAATATTTGTAATCTTTTGTAATTTTCTTGAATTTTCATGATTTTTGATTTTTATAAATTTTTCTGATTTTTGATTATCATAAATTTCCATGATTTTATGCGCATTTTGTGCTTTTTGGAAATTTTCATTATTTTTAATTTTCATAAATTTCTATGATTTTTTTGTGCATTTTGTACTTTTTGGACAGTTTTTTTTTTTTGGAAATTTTCATGATTTTTGTAAATTTACATGATTTTTGATTTCCATAAATTTCTATGAATTTTTGTGCAATTCTTGATTTTTATAATTTTTGATTTTCATATAAGTATTTCCATAATTTTTTGGGTATTTTGTGATTTTTGGAAATTTTCATAGTTAAAAAAAAAAAACAAAAAAAAAATAAAAAAATTTTTAACCAAAACAAAA